GAGGTGGAGTTTGATAGTAGTTAAGGAAGATAAGAAGTAATTTATAAATGTTGACTGTGTTCACTTTGGCAATTTTTATCACCTTATCTCATCAGTTTATATGCATACTAAATCAAAGGCAAGCATGAAGAGAATGCATGTGCTTCAGGTGGGAATTATCAAGGCAAAGCACCCAAGTCTTAGCTACTATTGGAGTACCAATACATAATTTTTCTGTGATTTATTTGACTTACCTCTTGAATTTTGGTGCAGATTTAGTCTCACTGAAGCAGGATTTAAAGAGCAATGCCCCTTGAACTCCCCCCTGCCCCGCAGCTATTAACTTCTTGTTCTGGTGTAGATAAGGCTGGCAACTGTGTCATGTAAACAGAGTTTATGTCATCTTGTTTTTGCAGGATTCATAAGGCTCTGTCTTCTTTCAAGGCTAAGTTACTAATTGCTTTGTCTTGCCTCCGTATCCCACCCCCACCCCAGCCCCATTTCTAAAGACCCCCTTCAACCAAATGTGTAAAACTAGAACCTTTCCTTTGTTCTGATGCCCAGCACTTTGGACGTAAGTTCAGCTGGGTTGATGTACATCTAAAATCCTGGAAATAAATCCTGCTTTTTCCTCATTAGTTTCTCTGATCTCTTGGATTCTGCAGCAATACTGCCTATTTTATTTAATTTGTAGATGAATCTGGTAACATATGCTCTTTGATTCCATAGCTGTTGCCAGAATAAAATCAACAGGAAAGAGCAGTTTCTATCTAGGACTTTTTTTTGTATGGGCAGATCTTTAGCCAAAAATCTCCAACCAGTGCTTGCTCATCCGTTGTGACATGAGCTAATCAGTGTGTGCATTTTAAATGAAAGACTCGCATCTACTTCTCAAGTTGGTGTTCATGTAAGACCATATTTGATCAGCCACACACTGTATGGGCATATTCTTAGGAAGAAATCTTACAGAAATATGTAACGGTGAAGCCATTTTTATTTTAAAACAAGCAAGGGAAACAGACTGCAAAATTCACATGAATTACTAGGGCAAGCCACATAAGATTTTAGTGTTGCAGGCTTCTCTGTCCAAGTACTGTCCTGTCCCCGCCCAGCTGCTCTGTCGCTAGGATTTTAGAGCATTTCAGCAGCACTGCATGAATGTTAATAGGAGGAATATATTGTTTTAAATTTAATGGGATAATTTTGATAGAAATTGACAACAGAAGTTTATAAAAGTGGCCTAAAAACTTACATCATAGAAATTCAATTTTGAAAATTCTGGTATCTTATAAAGCATATCGAGTCCAAAGGGAAGCTGAACAGCATGCTGAATTTCAAAAGCAGACTTAGGCGTGGAGATACCTCACCCTAGGAGGGTCAGGGCAGGTGGGTGTGGGCTCTTGAGGTTTCCCTGGGAAGGCGGCTCGGGAGTCTGCACCGAGCCAGACACTAGGAACAAAGTCTCCTGGAGCACCAGACGCCTGCCAGGCTCCCCGAGGTGAAGTACCTTGGAAGGAGCGCGCTGCCCCTCTTCACAGGTGACAGAGCCACAGCTCGGACTGAGGCCCGCCCTGCCTCTCCTGGACCCGCCCTCAACCCCACATCTTTCTGACTGTAACGCCTGGGTTCGTATAACCCACTTGTGGTAGTGGATTTGCACACGCATCGGGTCTTCCTAGTCCTTTTCAACTAAGGATGTGTAAGAAATAATGTAAAGTGTCTGACTTTCAATATTCTGACCTAATACAAAATATAACCTAGGATATTACAGAGCTCAAATTAAGGTTTCTAATGTAACTTCGGGAAAAAAGGATAAAGAGTTGTGCGTTGGGAGTTAAAGATGTCACCCTGCTTCCTGAACAGGAAGATGTGACTGCGGAGAGGTGCTGGTGGTGAGGCTGTGACCTTCCCGAGCAAGATTTAAAAGACAGGACGCAGCAGTCACTGCAGCCTGCATGCTTTCACAAATGAGCCAGGTTTGCTTGGCAGATGGGTTTGCTAGACTCTTAGATCCGTGAAATTCAGAAGTCGTAGCCCTGACATTGACCTAGCACCTTGAAGGTCATCTGTCAATACTTCACAGACAGTATGATAATTAGAGTTTAGGTTTGAAAATCACTAGAGTTGGATCAATAGCTGCTTGAACAGTGGCACCTGACAGGTGATGAGTGTCTACCTGGAGGTGTATTTCTGTGGTTTGACACAGCTTAGTCCTCTACCTTCCTGTAATTTTTATCAGATGTCTATAGAAAGGTCCTGGTGATCCAGAATTTTTATAGGCAGAAAAGAGGATGCGTATGTAACAAGCCTGTAGCTGGAATAAGAACATAAAATCATCTTCACAGGCTTCAGTAAGCAGAAATGTGGGGGGCCTGCTCTCAGGTTTAAAAACTGAAAAACGCACATGGTGGCGCATGCCAGTAATCTTAGCATTCAGGAGGCGGAGGCAGGAGGATTGTCTGGAGTTCAGTGCCACCCTGGGCCACATAGTGAATTCAAGGCCAGCCAGGACTGCATAGCAAGACCTTGTGTCAAAAAATAAAACAAAACTTTGAAAAATACAAGTACAAATCGAAAGGGAAATCATTTGAATATTTAAATTTATTAAATATTATTAAGCATTATTACTCTTACATGTAAGAATTACAGAAAATTCCTTACCATAATCTGACCCTTAAAGCTTTTACCTATATTTACATAATCCTCACAAAGAGTGATATGCTTGAGATAAATTATACCTGTGTAGAGTGCTTTTAATCAAAGTGCATTAGGTGTATATTACAAATTACGAAGTATTTTTGAAGAAAGTCACCAGTCTCATTTTATGATGCTTTTACCTAACTTTGACCAAAAATTGTTTCCCCTAACTTGTTTTCAACAATCTTCCCTTTGCAGGATTTTTGAAACATTTTTTTTTACTTAAGCAGTTACTTAGCCTTCATTGTGCAATCCATACACCTTTTACAGAGAACACATGGGAATAAAATGACTCTCACCTGTGTTTTCTGAAAATGGTTCCACCCAATAACAGGTAGACTCAGTGAGTGGGAACGCTGTTATACATTGTGTCAACTTGAGAAGTATGGAAGCATAACAAAGTAACTCAGCAGGTCTACATCCTGGGGTGTAAAGGACACGCCCTTACTGTTTTAGGATGTTGTTTATTGTGTCAGCTTGAGAAGTTTAGAAGCTTAACTGACTCAGCAGGGGGCCAGGGTCCCTCCTTTGTAAACATTCTCAGCTTGTCCAAGAGGAGGCATGGAGATGGTGTGGGTGTGGGCGGATAGCCAGCATACAATACAAGGGAGGAAAAGAGGCTTTCTTTCCAACCCCTTTTACTCTTGCTGCTTTTGCTGTCTTCTGCCACCTTGAACTGTTGCCCTGCCACCCTGCCTTGGAGCCAGCTGATCGCAGACTGAAACTTCCACAAACTGTGAACTAAATAAACCTTTCCTTACTTAATTTTGGATGTCAGGTATTTCGTCTCAGCAACCAGTGAAAAGTAACCAAAACAAGCACCTTTTCAGTCTTCATTGTGTCCTAAGACAGGGCCTGGTGCATAAACAGTTCCTTCATAAATATATGTTCAATAAAATGACCTCTCAGATGACTTGGAGCCAAAGCTTATCTGCATAAGGTGTGTGTTACCCTCAGGACTCCCAGGTATCAACTCTGTTCTTTAAGGTGTGCATTACCGCTGGGGACCATTGGCGTGTGGTGGTGGGCATAATCACAGTCACAGACCCGATGCGTGTGCAGAGATACTGGCCAAAGCCTGAGTGTGTCTTATCCCTGTTATTACACTTTTTGTAAAATATACCATTTGTGGTATATATTTAGGAAAAATCTATTATTTTCACGTTTCATGAATTTCTCATAATGTGTGCTAATTAAATGAACAAGCTGAGTAAGTCTGGTAGAACTACTGTTAAGAAATGTTAAGTGACACCTTTCAGGTCATCTGTGCTAGTTATCCAGCAGCTATGCAAGACAGATCTATTTAGCGGTCAAACATTATAAAACAAGAGAAGTGTGGGCGATAATTACTAATTTTGTGCCACAGTTATTTGACTACTAATGAAAAGGCATGGTGTGCAGCTTGTGAGGTATCATAGGAGTCAGCATCAGAAATCAGAGGACTCATGTTCAAATCCTGATTGTCACTTGTTAATTGTCCGGCCTTCAAAAAGTCACATTCCTTGCTGTAAGTCCAAGTTTCTCCATCTCTGAAATGGTTGTGAGAGTAGTTATTAATGCATAAGATCAGAATGAAGATGAAAAACAGTCACAGTGTAGGTAATAATGAACCAGACTCTCACTATGAAATACATAACAGCAGTGGTAACCAGATGCAGCATGCATTATTATCATCTCCTTTATCCAGAGACAAAATATCACAGAGAGATGCAACCGTCCCAAGGCACAGGCAGAAAATTGGAAAAACAGAACCCCAGACCCCTGGCTTAAGATCCTTTTGTGTTCTGTCTGTGCTACTGTTACAGAATAGGAGGAGAATGCTGCACTGGAGCTAAACTACCCACCACAGGACAGTCCAGTTGGCTATGCAGGAGGAAAGAGCTCAAGAGGAAACAGAATAGAAAAAGTGCCCTGGTCCTACTGCATGTACATAGAGAATATCAAGTGTTATACAGTTATCTCTGCTGACTACAAGAAAGAACTTTATAAGTACTTTTTAATTTCTAATAGCCAAATTTTTTTCTTAGTTATGTAAATGTATTTTGACACCGTTGAAAGAGGATTTTCCCCCTTGCATGTAAATTCCTTGAGCAAGTGTGTGGGATTGAGTACACTTCATTTTTTTTTTTTTTTTTGGTTTTTCTCTGGTACCGGGAACCGAACTCACGACCTTGCGCTTGCCAGGCAGGCGCTTTTGCCACTGTGCTAAATCCCCAGCCCCTGGATTGAGTACACTTTAAACATGTGATGCAGCGTATCACAATGATGGCTTTCCAAATTGTATGCATTGATCGTTTCTGAACCTTTTCCCTTTGTCTCTACAGAATGCTGAGATTTCCGTTTTTGAAGTAAATATACGCTTTGTTGGTGGACTGCTGTCAGCCTACTATCTGTCTGGAGAAGAGGTAAGGTGAAAAGTGGTATATACGTGTGAATTAGAAAGTGTCTAAAAATTACACTTTTTGTAAAATATACCATTTGTGGTATATATTTCGGGAGAATCTATTATTTTCACGTTTCATGAATTTCTCATAATATGTGCTAATGAACAAGCTGAGTAAGTCTGGCAGAACTATAGTTAAGAAATGTTGACACCTTTTAAAAAACCAGGCTCTGTTAGATGATATCCAGTGTGATTGCCGCTCCTAGGCCTGAGTGCCGGTGGACAGAGTAAAGAGGTGCAGTGTCAGGGCAGGCTGCTGGGTGTTTCTTTTTGTTTGAAAATTATTTTGATGTTAGTATAATGCTAGCTGAATAGAAACTTCTTAAAATGCAGAAAGCATGGCAATGAGATATAAAAATCATAGGGCTTATGAAATCGAGGGGGCAGACTCTCGGGCTCCCAGGAACTTGGTGGAGCCCAGGGTCCCTGTGTCCGTCAGTTCTTCGCAGCTCCTCTGGGTTGGACATGCAGTTAATTATCTGCTGCTTGGAGCAAGCAAGAGTTTTTGATTCAACTGCTTTTACTGACAGGTTAAGAAAGGATTTTGTATCCTACTGATAAGGGCACTGATGCTATTTTCTTGAAAGGGTTTGGACAACTTTGTGAGTTATGTCGAGTGTCCACTAAGAGTTGCTGCAGTGGACCTCACCTTTCGCCCTGGCGGCGCTAAACACTGACATCGCGGACAAGCACTCTGCTCAGTGCCAGCCCTGGCATCCCGGCTAGGGAAGAGCAGGGCTGAATCACGGTCATACGCCATGCGTTTCTGTGCTTCCGGCAGATCTAGGCAGAGCTTTAAAAGCTCAGTGGGAAAAGCTGCTTGACTTTGCTCCCGCCCCATCCCATGACAGTCCTCCACGTCCCGTCCTCTACATCCCCTAAGATTTATCCCCTAGACAGCGCCTGTGTATGCAGGCGACCGTCTGCCTCCCTGCTAAGTGCTGCATTCTGTTCACCATGACCTCCGTCACCTTTGGAGCCAGAGTCCTGAGAGCCTCCTGCCACCCGTGCCCCCTCCTGTCTTCCTCCATTGTCCTCGAATAGCTTCCCTCACCCAGCTCGGTGTAGCATTCGTAGTGCTGAAGCCAAGGACTGTAGATACTTTAACAGACAAACTTAGAATTCACAGTGCTCCTCTCATTAACCAGCCTAGGATAGCCAGTGCCTTGAGATTGTCGTCCTTTGTGCCACACGCAGTCAGGTGACCTTGGCTGACCTTCATAATTTACAGATATTTGAAACAATCTGGAGCCAAGAAGGACTGCATCCTTCTATGCCTGGCCTCCATTAAGACAGTGGAACCCACAAAAAGGAGCAAATACACATTTCTTCTAAATATGTATCCTATTTAATTAGTGTAGTTTTTTTCATAACAGTGCTTGGAGTTTATGTGTATATGTGTTCCAATTTGTATGTGTACTTAACAATATATACTTATATGCTTATCTAGATGTTATGCCTACAGACATTATATTTTGCCTGTAGATAGAATAATTTGCCTAAGACTTTGTAAGATATGTCTAATTCTGTATTTAACTAACTTTAACAAACAGAGGACAACAAAGAACACTTTTATTGCAGGTATTTATCCTTTTAATGTATTTGTTTTATCCTTATTTTGTAAACATTGTTTTATTGTAGGTTTTCTATCTTTTTAATTTTTATAAGAAAGTTATTTACAGTATTCTTTTTATGTTTCCATACATTTGCATTTTAGCTCATCTTAGCAAGTTTTTGACAGTCCTAAAATATTAAACATTTAAATTGTTACAGTCTTCCTGTATTTTGAATAATGTAGCTATAGAAAGTCACAAACATTTATTCTCTGATGTGGAGTTGCTAGATGAGAGATGGTGAGCACCTGATTGCCTTGACGCAATTGCCTGCTTCTTCTCTGATCATCTGTGACTGACAGTAGCCTTTCACTCCTTGGTTGGATTCAGATGGCTAGTAAAGTTCTGCACATACTTTTTATGTCAATCAAAGAATTTACCAAGGTGATGTAGAAAATTTGTCTTCCTTGATAAATGACCTTATAGAAGAGTTACTAGGCTGGGGATATAGCTCAGCAGCACAAGTGCCTGCCTGGCAAGCACAAGGTCCTGAGTTCGATTCCTGGTACCAAAAAAAAAAAAGTGTTAATATTGCTGTAACTTCACACTCTGATTTCATGACTGAGGCTCAGAGTATTTTAAGACCATGTTGGGAATCACCATCAGAAGTATTGAGCCCCACAATGACACAGCCTCAGAATCCTCACATTTATGTTGCAGAAGCAAGAGGGGCAGCCCATTGATTTGTGCTTGAATTAGAATTGCAAACACTGAACAGTAGTCAGGAATGCCAGAGGAACTCTCACCTACCAAAGGAACTACACAGATTTGAAATACCTGTAGACCTGCATTGCAGGCACATACTCAAAATATTCATAAAATATCCTAGCTCAGTTAAAATATTTTGCAGTAGCATAAAGTCAAACCTTGGCATTTTCAAAGTCTATAGGAAACTCCAGCAACTATAAGAATTACAAACAGAATGGAGATAAGAATATTAAATAGGAATGATTGGTGTTAAGAATAAAAGTGTTGCATTGTGTTGTAATAAGCTCAAGGGGAATGAAAGTCCTCACTGAAGACAGGAAATACACATCTAGGATATCATTACTCGGGTATTTTGTACTCACTGGCTCCTCTTGGTGTGGTGAGATAAATCTGTGCCTCTCTGTACATAAGAAGGAAATGTGGAAAAAGTTAGGTGCTGTATTCTTTCTTGGAAATTCACAGTGCACAAAAAAAGAAACTAATTTAACTTTATCCTTATGTTTTCCACATGTAATTAACTATAATCTCCCTGTTTTAAAAAATGGAACATCTGCTAGCACTGAGTTGGAATTACTTTCTTCTAGAACAGTTCTTAGGAAATGACACTGGAATAAGAGTAACCAAAACAAAAATTGAAAATTTGCAAGTATTGAAAATTTGCAAGTGCAAAACACAAATGAGGAAAATAAACTTAAGGCGCTTCAAGAGAGGATGATACACCTAGAAAAGAGCATATGTGAACAGACCTTCTGATGTTGGTTTTGCAGCAGGACGCATAGCTATATTGTGCAGAAAGCATATTTATTGGAGAGAGTGAGAAAGCTGGAGATCAGCCCCATGCTTGCCATTCAGAGTCTGACAGCTTGACTGGACTCTAGACGTGGTAGGAGTAGTGACCACAGCCTGTTTCTTCCGTTCTTGGCTTGACATCCCTGGAGGCTGGTTGGCAGCCTCTCAGCTACATGCAGCCTCTTGAGGAGAGAGGAAGGAGGCGATAGAAGTCTGCCAGGATGAGTGCAGTATCCCAAGACCAGGTAGAAAAAAGGGTGGGCAATCCTGGGTGAAAATGTAGGACATATAGAGGAGTCGTGGAGAGGTATGTTTCAGAATCAAAATAAGGTGTAAGTCTACCATATTGGAAAAAGAAAAAGCTACTTGATTTGAAAACTTACTTTATTCTTTAAATTGAGAGACCATATTTAAATTTCCCAGAGTATTGCATCCTCAAAGGGAACATTCTGCTGGTAAGTTTTAAATCTGTGGGTGGAAAGACACAAATCAGCTCCCAGAAGCCAAACTGATGGAGAACTAGAACTTTAAAAAAGTAGAGAACAAACATCTGGTCCAAGACGGAAAATACAGAGAATGGATTCCTGATCTGTTGGTTCTGCCAGCTGTTCTTGTATTCTGATGACAGCAAAAGGGTTTCCCACAATACCCCTCAAAAGCTGCCCAGTGCCGCTCACACAGTACTAGAGACTGCTGAGGGACACGGCTAAATAACCAGCTGATACCACCAACTTTTAAGATTACCATGTTGAGTGGATGAGGTAGAGGACTAGAAGCCAGAGACTGAGCATAGCACTTGAGTGGTGGGATGGTCTGCTTGTGTTTCACAGTAGACTTTGGGTGTTTGGAGTGTTCGAGGGGGTGAAAATCAATTTTGGCAAGTGTCTTTAGTGATAAATAATCATGAAATTAATTCAGAAAGGCCCCGGAAGTTAGGAAGTATTGATGTTGTTATCTTTCAAATCAGTGTGTACCATAGCCACCCAAGAAAGAGCTATCTCTCCCAGTAGTGGCAAACCTGAGGCACGTGTGCCATAGCCAGCTGTTTGTTATTGAAAGCTCTGAAGGATTTGCCATCTCCTGCATCATCCTGCAGAAAACTACAGTGACTCATGATACAGGCAGCCATGGAAAGCAGAGAGTAGTCAGAGCGAGGCCACGGTGGGAGGGTTGCTGAGCTCCACCCCAGAATGGGCAACATTCTGCCTTAGCGCGACTCTGTCTCAAAAGAGGGCTGCAGATGCAGCTCAGCACTGAACCCCCAATACCACAGCAAAAAAAAAAGCACAGATCAGTTGCAGATAAGATTAGCACAGAATAAGACATCCAACAGGTTTCTAATCACCTTGGCTTTAGCTAGAACTGTGTCTTCAGGTTTCCTAGCAACCAGAGCAATGGAGGCAGAGAATTAACAGCTATTGGGTTTTTCTATTTTTATAAACACTCAAATTTTGGTAATATCAAACAGCCCATGTGTAGTATTAGCTATGTGTGTATTAAACATTGCCTAAACCTGCTCTAAGCGGAGCAGCCGAGCCATACAACGGGCCTGCTTTAGCCACATACCAAATCCTCCCTGAGTGGTGCCAGTGGAGCTCAGATGAGTTCTGCCCTCTCAAACATGTGGAAGGGGTTTTAATTATGCTCTGTAACAAAATACATTTAAGTTCAGAAAGATATGAGCAAAAGTCATAATCACAAAAAAGATAAGATTTAAGAAACATCACAGTACAGTACTTATAAAATACGTTAATTGTTTACAGTGAAGAAATAAAAGATTTGTATCATACAGTTAAAAAGCGAGAATTGACATAGTGGTACAATGAAGTAACAAAATTACTAATCAGAGATT